TTGGGGTTTTCATTTTAGGGTTCCTGATTGAGTCACTTGTTGGACTTCTTGCTGGGTATGTAATAAGTAGTTGCGCCCACAAGCCCTAAACAGTTCAACCGCAAACCCCTACAACCCCAGCCCCAAAACCACCGAAGCTGAACACCCGAACCCCCAGAGCCTCTTTTTGTTCGCTCCATGTTTCCCAAACTGCAAACACGGCAAGCCAGAATGCACATCAAGTTTGGAGGCAGGTGCTTGACCCTTGGCTAGGACTAGGAATATTTGTTATTGCAAGTCGCAAGTTATCGAGTGGTTTCTGCTAGACTCCATATGTCAATATGAGTCAAGCCCTGCCTGGAATGTGCTATCTTATAGGGTTGGACTCCGAATCCAAAGCCCTCTACTCTGGGCCCTCAGCCTTGCTCAACCAACAAAAATAAGGTACTTTGCAAAGAGCAGCATCGACCTCACGTTGCACAGATTCTTCTTGCTTGCCATGCCTGGAGCCACCGAAGCTGGGCATTGATTTGTGGAACTTGGTTTAGAGCTTCCCCTTACGTCTTGAAGGAGTGGGTGGGGAGCCCTAAAGCCTGGACCGCGTTGCTTACAGGTAAGCTTAGTGCGCTATATTTCAGCAATGCCACGTTGGCTTTCCCTAAGGGTCCACGTACCCAAATAGTATATACTTTGGGCCCAATGTACCTATATAGGGAGCACTTTAAGGCCTAAGTATATACTATTTGGGTACATGGACTCTTAGGGTTTGTTTGAGGACTACCAACTCGAGCGAGCGTACCGCTGGACGGCCCGATTCTTACGGAAGCAACACCGGGGAGAGGCCGGGCCCTGAAAATAGGAGGCCAAAAGGGGTTCCCTTTAAAGGGTTCCTATAAGGATTACCATAAGGGTACTATAAGGGATCTATAAGGGTACTATAAGGGGTTCTATAATATAGGAGGTCAAAAGGGGTTTTGGCCCATGGGGGGTTTAGTAGGGATTATATAGGGTTCCCATAATAGTGTTCATATTAAGGAACTGCCCGCTGTAAAATTGAAGTCTAAACCCGAAATCAACAAGACCGGAGACCTCGAGATCAAGGCCGCATAAACCTTTGACTGGTACTATACCTCCTGGTCAAACACTGTGGTGTTGCGCAACATAAAGATTCGGGGTTGAAGGTTTATAGAACTGGGTCCCCTGTGGCTCCGATCCTCCAATCGAACGTGCAAGACCCCTGACCCTGAGTCTCTTAAACCCCCATCCCAAAGCATCCTAAATCCCAAACGCCTATCGAATCGCTTCGACCCCCGAAGTTTCAGGACCTCACCCCCAGACATAACCGATAAAGTCCAAACTCGAGAGACCGCACAAAATCCCTGCGAAGGCTCTGGCAGAGTCGCCCGCAGGATCCCCCGCGTGCCCGGCGAGTTGGGGTTCAGCGGGCAGAGATTCCTATTATTTTTACTGTTCTCTGTTATTGTTATTATAGGCACCACTACTACCATTAATATTACTAGCTTCTTAGCCGGCTCAACGTCCAGCCGTGAGCCCGAAACTGCAAACTTCAAGGGTACGGTGAGTGCCCAGCATGAGGCGTGGCTGTAGCCAGACCCACACGACATTCGTTGTGTGACCATGGGCCTGTCAGGGTTTAGGGTTTGGGGTTTGCTTCCCGTTCTTCTCCCATGCATTGCATTGCAGGGCGTACCCAACAGTTCGTGCCAAAGTTAAGGAGAATCGAAAGATGCATCTTAGATTGAACTCCCGGAGAGATAGTAACGATGCGACAGCAAAAAGCTTGCAATATCCCTAAGCCCCCTAGACAATCAGCCTTTGTATGGATACAAAACAGAGTTGAAGCTGCCAAAATGCTTCAATCTGCGTAGAAATTGCACTACTTAAAGGATCATGGGACTTAGTAACTGGGGTTGTAATTAGCGTAACTATACTTATAACCCCAATTAAGGTACTTATAACCTTGCTTAGTCCCATGATCCTCCAAGTAGTTTTAGAAGGCGCTTACTCACAACCGTCCCACAGCCCATGAACCCAGCTGGCCCTGGCATCTACACTTTATATACTGCTGCCGCGGTGTATAAAGAGTCCGTTTTGCAGGTTGACAATTGCAGCTTCGGGTGTGCATTACAGTAGAAGCCGGAAAGTTGGAATATCATTATCATACTCCTTTTAAGGTGAATTATAGGGGATCCTGCCATTATTTCATATTCCAACTTTCTGGAGTTCCCTGTAGTGTGTGTCAAGAACAGCTGAAGTTTCCAAGATTGAGGGCGTAGGGTTTAGGGTTGCATTGCTAGACGAGAGCATTCGCTGTGGATCCAGAGATTGGGATAAGCGGTAAGTGCCAGGGGTGCTTGTCTCTAGTTTAGATTCTTCTGTGAGAGCCCAAACCTCATGTCGCAACAAAATACTACATGGATCCGTTTACCCCACCGCTTAGAACAAGTAGTGTGTCGGAGTTACAGCTGTAACCTTGGAAGCAACTGTACTAGGAGTACAGAAAATGGAGCATTGCTATTGACCAAAACAAGGAAAGGTCTAGAAACTTGTACCGCTAACAAGCAACGAGCCCATTGTTTGTGCGGACACGGTGCTTTGTCCTTGTGTCCTGGCAGGTCACGCCGCAGCTAGATCTGGAGGTGCCCTGAATGGTTAAACTCTCAGGCATAATGTGATAGTCTTGAGATGGCATGGCATGGTGCGTGCGACGAGTCGCTAATTCAGTTCCAGGGATGCGGACATAGTTCTGTGACCTTAGACGTGATATCAGACTGCATGGCGGTGTAGCGCCCAGTTTTGTCCTGCACAATGGCTGCATCTAAAGGCATCTCCTGTGGTATACTCCATGATGCAACTAGTTCCATGCATTCTTCTCGTGCTACACTGGAACTGCGAGTGAGATTGGCTTCTCTGGTGTGAGACCAGCCTTAGAAGAGCCAATGTATTTTTGCCTTACATCTTCTTTACACCCATTCGCGATTTGTGTACCGTGTTCACCTGCAAGCCACATTACAGGAGTTATGCGAGGGCTCAGTATCTGCAGTTGCGGTTTTGGTGTTGGCCGGCTTGTACTGACCTTTTGGTTGTTGTGTTTGCAGAGGGGTGTTTGACGGCTGTTCGGACAGGCATACCAGGAGGAGCTGCTGTCAGCCACTAATTTAATTTAGGGGCCTCAAGAATTAGAATAGGGTTCGGGGGTAGATAGCACTAAAACTAAAACTATAAGGGACCCCCAAAACCCTATTCTAATCATTAAGCCCCCTACACTATGCAGGACTCTTCAGAGCATCCCCAGCCGATGGTACTTTCAACCATTTCACGAGCAACGAACATTGAAAGTCTTTGAGATGTTTAATATAGGGGCCTAACTAATTCCCAATACTGTTTTAGGGATTCCTTCTTATAATTATGGTACACAGGGCCCCAAAACCCTGGTCTAATTATTAAGGCCCCTATGTTAGGCAGCTTATGCAGGGCTGTATCCCGCCGTGGCAACTCGAACTCTGCCTGGAGCTTCATTAGGCCGAGCAGCCTACGTCGCGCCATGCGAATTATATAGGGGTCAAGAATTATCAATCATAAGGAATGTTCCTCCCCCATTTTCATATTACCGACTGGCCCAAAACCCCAGTCTAGTTATCAAAGCCCGTGTATTGCAGGACCCTTAGTGGAGATCCCTTGCTACCCCTACTCTATTCGGTGAGAACCCTATGCTAGCGGTACTGGTACCACCAGACGAGACATCGAGTGCACCAGAAGACGTAGGGGGGGTCGGGGTGTATGATAGCATAGCTATGTACGGCTGTAAGGGATACTACAAAATTGTCAGGCCCCTGCATGACCGGCACTATGAACGGTAATGATCAAAGTCATTCTTCTTGTAAGGCCCAGAAGAACCGTCAAAGGGCGCAGTAGCCAAATTGCCCCTAAAACAGGGGAAAGAGGACTAGACTATACCCATTCTCCGAATTCCAAGTCGCGCTTTGGGCTCGTTGCCCCAGTGCTGCAGGCTGGTTCACCAACTACCCCGGATCGATCGGCCTGGTGACAGGCTGAGCCGCAGCAGTTCTGTCCAAAGCTTGCGAATCAGCGTGCTTGAGCAATCCTACGCGCCACAACCTCAGCCCTGAAGGTTACATCCCTGAAGGCCTCCTTAGGGTGAAGAGCCTGGGGGTTGAGAAGGCTTCATCCTGCTTCCATGCACCACTCATGTGTGACCTTGTCGATCCCTCGCCCGGCGTGCACCCTGGCCCCAGGGCTTGGGATTCCTCGCGGTGCGAGTCTTTGGAGCTTCGGAGGGGATGCGCTGTGTTACCCTCGTGTCAAACACAGAGCCCACCACAGAGCATATAGTCCACCACTGTCATTGTAACTGTTCGCCGACCCGTGGATAGTGGCTCGCTAGCGCAGTGTTGTAGACCTGAGTCCAAAATTTTCGCCTGTCCAAGACAGCGGCTCTGATGGCTCGCAAGGCCGCATGCGGTGCGGATGAAGTTACGTGGCTTGTTTGGTGTTTCGAGCATTGCTTGAAGCCCGAGCAGGCAGCTCTACGCAAAGAGCTGGCAGGCCTTGCGGCCCAGTATGGATGCAAGTTCGTTTACCACAAGAAGTCCATGAGCTTTCTCAGCTGGCTGGAGGGCCGGAAGGGGAGCGTGCTGCTCGTTGCAGATTGGCGAGAAGCAAAGCCCATCATGGAGGAGATCAGCAAGCAAGAACAGCGTCACAACTTCCGCATGTGTGTCGTCGCGCAAACAGCAACGATCCTTCGCCGTGCATCTCTTTGGGCAGGCACTCAAAGCACGGAGATCATGGTGACGTCGGGCTTCTTGCGACACAAGGTGGAGGATTTGATCGCAAGCCATGTGGGGGCCTTGCGCAGTACCGGGGGCTACGGATGGTTGTCTCTGCCCAATCTTCTCGAAGCGGTACATGATCCCAAGCAAGCTCTTGGACTTGAGAAGCTCATCAAGCAAACAATGTGGCAAGTCTACGAGGACTGAGCGAAGGTTGATTAAACGTATGAGAGCTGGAGCTGTTCAGGCTCTCATACAATCATGAAATGTTAGGGCCGAAGCGAACATCGCAGGAGCCCGAATCGTCTCCGAGTCCCGCAGAAGTAAGTAGAAGGGACGTGTCTTTAAATGACCGTAAGGTCGTTTTTGAGGCCAAGGCTTCGAAATCCCTTCAGCCATGCCTCGTTACAGACCACTGACTTTTTTGGGCTCCGATGCCCGGCCAAAATCGATCGCAACGGGACTTCCCCCTCCCTCTAAACCCTAAACCCTAAACCGTAACCCCTACACCCTAAACCTTGTCCGTGACGATGCAATGCTGTCGAACTCGGCACACTGGGACAATCGGCCCGAAACCCTCAGCCTCAAAGCCTACGATCCCAAACCTCGATGACACGAAAGTTAAAATCTGAAGGCCTCCTTGTTCAGAGCCTTGCGGTTGAGACAGCCACTTGCTGCAGAATTCATGTTACATCCAACGCACCGTTGATAAGTGACCCTGTCGATCTCTGATCCGACGTGCATCCTGGCCACGGGATGCGGGATTTCCTTTGGTGAGAGTCTTTGGAGCTTCAGAGGGGATGCTCTGTGCTACCTTCGTGCCCGCCATAGATCTCATCATGGTAAATCTTTTGCTGGGAGGTGAGCCTTCGTGTGTTTTTATTGTTGAGCGACGGTCTCAGATACGAAACTCATCATGTAGGGTAGAACCGGCGTAGGAGAAACCTGCTTATGCAGCAAAGTGAAGATCTCTTCACCGGAGACCCGATACCAGAAAAGAGGTTCTGGAACAGCCCAGAACCCGGGAAATCCCGAAACTGGGCCTTTAGGTGTCCCGCCTGGGATACTGTTGACAGCCTTAGTCTGTTTAGGGTTTAGGGTTTGCAGGGTCGCGGTTTAGGGGTGCACTGATGCAGTAGGGGAGCAAGTAGACCTAGCCCTGTTGTGGCATCAGTCTGGCCTCCCTCCCAACGTAGGCTGAGGGTACTGGCCCTGGTTTTGGATTGAGCTCTACAAACCCTGAGCACTGAACCGGTAACATAGGCGCCTTAATGATTAGAATCGGGGTCTGGGGCCCGTTATACTGTAGTTGAAATAAGGAACCCCCCCAAAATAGTATCGGTAATTATTAAGACCCCTACATGATATTGTTACCTGGCATGTCTGGTACAGGTCCTGGCGACGAGCCAATGATAATGAGCTAGCTGTAGCCTTGAGCTACTGGCAAGCGCAGGCACTGCGTCGGACTTTGGGGGTATACAGTAGAAGCCAGAAAGTTGGAACATCATTGCCCTCATGCCCTTAGGATAAAGCAGAAGGAATCCCAGCATTATTCATCCTAACTAAATTCATGTTCCAATTGTGTGGGGTTCACTACAAAGGCTCGGGCTCGTTCCTTTCTCTATATCTGGGAATTCCCGAAAATAGGGACCCTGATATAGTACCCTAAATCATACTAGGATCCTTGTTATAAGGAACCCAAAGTGAGATACCCCGAATCTTCGGAAACTTCTTTCTGAGTGTATGTATGTGAGCTTTGTATGTTTGCTTGTTGTTAGTTTGCCAGTATGAGTATCATTCTCCATGTTGCTGGCATTGTGTTATCAGCAGATCTCACTCTGACCCGGGCGGGCACCCACCCGACTACCCCAAACCCTATAAACCCTAAAGCCCAAACCCTAAACCCAGTTGAATCACCGGACTACCCAGCTGAATCGAAGCAGTACCTGTTGCTGGCTGTCGGAGTCGGACCGAAGGCTCCGGATTGCCCAAATCCTCTTTGCTAAACGTTGGCCGAACCAGGACCCTCCTTGTACCCTCAACTAGGGGTATATGGTCCCAAATAATGGAGACTTAGGGTATAATAGGGGGTAGATGGAGGGTCCAGGAAGTCCTCGCAGCCGAAGAATCCGCGGTGTGAGCCTACATTACAGCCGAATGAGCCCTGATGCAGTAGCTTCGAAGGATGAGCCGCAATCCTGGAGCCAGTGTCTGCTGCGCCAGAACCTGTTAATGATTTAATGCCCCATCCCCAAGCCGCAGAAATTACCCAGCAGGGCCCCGTACTCATAGGGGCCCCGTTGGGCGCTTCTGGGACTGGGCTTGCCTTATCAGGAGACATGTAGGATCGGTCTGGAGCACTCTGCCCACCACTGCACCGTTACAAGAGAGGCAAGTTATTCCGATAGCCGAGGGATGGCCAAGCTGTCCTTCGCTGGTGTTCATCTCCTTAGGAGATGATTCGTGGGGATTGTCTTGAAGTCGGTTCCTTTCGGGATCTCATCAATCCGCTCTAAGTCAGCTTACCCCCAACACTCAAAGCCCTCGACACTCTCTGGAGCCTCCGCACACACAAAACGCAACAAACGAACACATCCTAAAGGGACCATGAGATAGAACAACCCCCGTGTGATCTGCGTCTTGTCCCAAGGATTTTCCTTCTCCTTCAGGAACGCCTTGGGGCGTCCAGATCGGAAAAAGAGTAGCCGGGACATCCGCGTGGCCGATCCTCCACACTTGGAAGCTGCTGTCATCTTGTACTATCGCGACATGAACTCTCTATTGAATATGTCTATATATATATATATGCATGTGTATATGTCTATATGTATAAGCAGATGTTTTATGTGTCTTTGTGATATGTATGTGTGTGTATATATATATATGCCTCTGTGTGTGTATGTGTATATATATATATATAGATAGGTACATAGATAGATGTGTGTGTGTACGTACGCATGTATGTATTTATCTGTGTGTATATGTAATAAGCGCGCACACGAGTATGTATGTACTCCGTGTGCATGCATGTATGTATGCGTGCACGGATGTATGACACACCTGTGCATGTGTATACAGCCGGCAAAAATAACTGTAGCAGAATACGTCCAGAACCTCTGGTGGTTGACCCCCCCAAGCAAGACTCCTGCTGTCCGCCGGCAAAGAACAGCATTAGGATTTCAACCCAAGTCTCGATGCAGCAAATGAAGCCGCTTCCGTGTCAAGACATCATACTCGCGTTATGCAGACTCCTCCCATGTGAGGTACACCTGGTGATGCTGGCTTCGAAGCACGGAATTGGTGGCTGGTGCTGAGGATGATTCCGCGTTTGAGTGCTTGCTCGATTTGAGGATCCCCTAGGAGCCTATGCAGTTGTACTGTACATTCGTGAAGACCTCTGTGCATGGTTGATCCCGTTTTTGCTGTTCGTGCAGTAATTAAGAGAATGTCTGGAGTAGGGATGTATACACAGCAAGACGCTCCGGTGGGCCACGAAGATCCGCTGCACAGGGTTGAGGGTTTCAGGGTTGAGGTGTTCACCGTCTCGGTCGACTGACAGCATCAAGGTGACATGTTCTGAAACGGCGGAGTTTGAGATCAGCTTCTGACAGCCGTCATGGGGTTTAGAGTTCTACAGCCTGCGACACTACACATGGTTACATGGTACATCCTGAGTTCAGCAGGCCGTTTGTAGCGCACACAGACTTCATAGCCGAGTTTCAGCAACTAGGGGAACTCTGAATTCGACCCTCTAAAGCAGGACCCCTGTTCATTAAGATCCCTTGTTTTAAAAAACGCCTCCCCAGCCGCACACGCTAACGAAGAAGATTCTGGCGGTGCGCCCGGTTGCTTGCTGTTCAAACTCGAACATGCATTCTGCTCATGAGATGAGGGTCCCTCCGAAGTTCATAAAGTAAGGTCACTGATGCAGGGTCCTAAATCACTGCTGACTTATAGATCAATGGAGCCACCTGTAGCTCTACTTATAACTACAGCCGGTCAACTGCTTCTCTGGTCGCCGTTTCGAATCAAGCCGGGCACTGCGGGAGATCTGGTTCACGGTCCGTGCTCACTATCGCAATCACAAGACCCTAAACCCTAAATCCTAAGCCCTAAACCCTAAATCCGAAACCCTGAACCCTGAACCCTAAGCCCTAAACCCGAAATCCTAAACCCTGAACCCTAAACCCTAAGCCCAAGCAGCCGGAAACCTTCGCCGGGATTCCTGAGGTTCGCGTAGACGCAAGCCAAGATCCCCAGGCTCTATGACCGTAAGGACTGTGGCTGATGGTCTTGCTGTTTCATTTAATGAAGCTTATAGTCCCAGACCTTCCAAAATCCCTTAATTAAGGAATATACCTTAATTCATATTTGGGATCCTATTATAATTTAAGGTATATCCCTTAATTAAGGGATTTTGGAAGGTCTGGGGTAGTATGGCAACATGCAGCAGCGCATGGGACGATACTCATGTAGTCTCAAGGATTGTAGCTCAGGAAATGTAGGCTCTCTCGCTGAGAGATGTTGCCTTAAAGAAGGGTTCGATGCTTCTCCCAGCTTCCGCTGCCTAGACGAGCCAGACATGTTTGGAGCTCAGCTCCCATCTTGCTGGCTTCTGTCTAGAGAGCTTAGGGGCGCGATTATTACCAATACTATATCAAGGGTTCCTTATACTAGTAGTATAACATACCCCCAAACCCTATTCTAATTATGATGCATTTAAGTTGGGGCCTTAATGAGAAGAGGGTTTGGGGGTATATTACACCATCATTATAATAAGGAGCCCGTGGAACCCTATCATTCTACTTACGAAGGCCCCTACATGACGCCTCCGGAGTCGAGTTCTGGGTTGGGGATGAAAGGCGCAGAGTTTACTTAAAGGATCATGGGACTTAGTAACTAGGGTTATAATTAGGGTAACTATACTTATAACCCCAATTAAGGTACTTATAACCATACTTACTAAGTCCCATGATCCTCCAAGTAGGGTTTCTAGCACACTTGGGAGCCGAGCCTGCTGCAACTTAGCCATACTATCGGGGCCTTAATCGTGACCTCTACTACTTTTAGGGGGTTTCCTTCTAATACTTATAATGGAATGGGCCCCAAAACCCTGTTCCAATCATTGAGGCCCCTATCGTATGAATTACACTTTGGGGGGGAGTGGTAAACCCAGACTCTGCAAAGTTTCCATGGTCACTGCGTAA